TACAGCATCACATGCACGTATGCGTTAACTTCATGTTATTTACGTAGTATCGACCCATTAAATGCATCTCTTTAATTTCCAGTCACGGAGGAACCTGTGCGAAGAAGCCTTACTTAAAATTAAAGGGGTCATCAGCTTTACGTTTCAAATGGCAATTCAAAGATGTGTTGTCAGAATCAGATCAGATTTAAAAGCAGAGGTAAGTGTTCCCAATGGTTTGCTTTCACTATTTTCAGCTTCAGGTAGATACTTTTTAAAATCCTGTTCTACTTATTGTTTTCCATTTTTGTGCAGGCACTGGCCACAGCAATAGCATCAACCAAAATTATGAAAGCCCAGCAAGTTGTAAAAAGTGAAAGCGGAGAAGAGGTGAGAGAACTGCCCACCCTATAAAAGTAAATTGTTAAAAGCGTTGGCACTAAGATAACAGCAGCAACAATCATTGTAATCTTTTTATCTGATATAACAATATTCACCACATATACACGAGATTCTAGGCAGATAAATTTTCCAATCTGCTTTGAGCACCAATATCTGCATAATAGCACAACAGTTATATGCGGATAAGAAAAGCTTCAGGAGTGGAATTTTCCATGTCATCTATGTTTGGCTAGTCTAGTTCTAGTAGAATTCATGAGCTTGAAGAGGAAAAGAAATATGTGTTTTAAAAAGTCATTTTTATCCTTTCTACTGCTAGAAGTTAAATGATCTAAAAATGATTGCAGAAATAAATGTAGCTGAAAAGCAAAAGCAGATCTTGTGTGATGTTCCATGATGCATGTTAACACCGTGTTCCATTTTATGCAGATGTTGGTTCCTTTCCAAGATACTCCAGTAGAAGTGGAGCAAAATACTGACCTCCCTGAATACTTACCAGAAGATGAAAGTCCTTCAAAGGAGCAAGACAAAGCCGTGTCCCGTGTTGGATCACACCCAGAAGGGGCAGCCAGTTGGCTGAGCACAGCTGCAAATTTTCTTTCCAGGTCCTTCTATTGGTGACTTTGAATCAAGGCTAAAGGACTGTGCCAACCAACAGGGGGTAGTTTTTCCATTATTTTGGCGAACTGCCAAGTGCAATTTGCAATAAGTTATCGTAACAGATTTTTTAGACTACACAAAATATATACTGTGTTTTACATTTTATTGGATATTTTGGCCTTTTGAGCAGTCAGAAGATGAAGCTTCAAATCAACGTTGGTTCATTCCCTCCCCCCACCTTTTATGTTTTATTTTCTAATTCTTTTAATGTGGGTCCATGATCAACCAAACATTTTTGAATTTATGAAGCTTTATGTTAACAGTTATGATAAATATATGCAGAGCCCACTCAGTGTCAATGTCAGGACATAAGTGCAAAGAAATTGTTAGGTCTGATTTTACAAAATGAAATGCCTTTTTTCTTTTCCTTTTAGCCTTATTTCAGATTATATATTTCAATTAGATGGCTCTAGAAGGAAAAAAAGACAGATTTGTTCAACTTTTTTCAGTGCCAGTGTGACATGCTCTATTTGTAGAAATGTAAGAAGACTTGAATAAACTTGAGAGATTTGTTTTTTTAATTGTCAGCCGATAACCACTTTCAGTATGAAAATTTTAGTAAAAAGAGGTTAAGACAGAAATGCATGTATATTTATACAGATTATAAATAATCTGCTGTAAAAACTGCTTCTGACGAAGGCTGTGGCTGACTTTCCAAGTACGACAAGACACTATTGATTGGAATGCAGGTCATTGCTTTTCAAAAACTTCAATCTATTCCCATAATGGTTTGTCTGTAGTCAGAAGTGTGGTGATTGAGTTGAAAACAAGCTTTGAGTGAGAGCTGAACATGTAAGATTATTATGGAGAAGGGATAAGGAACTGGATGCTGAATATGCCATTGTGCCCTATCTACATTTTAAACATTTTGGCTTGATGGAAACCGTATGTTATTCCTATTGCCTTTTAAAGAAGCTGCTGTCCTGTGTCAATAGGGCTGATATTTGGAGCTGTATGACAGTTTATGTCATGTCAGAGCCAGGAGCAGGGCAAAACTAGTGCCTGATATCTAGGATTTGAGGGGCATCTTTGAAAATATGAAGAGTCCCTAAAAGTGCACTGTAGCTAGTCTGTTAAAACCCTGTACTTGGAGAGCATCATCTTCTGGTATTGTAGCTCATTAAAGAAGTTCCAAAGCGCTTGGATCTTGTCTTTTAGTTCCCAATAATGATAAAACAAGTGCTGTTTCAGTAGGTAAGATGTTGAGAACAGCAGTTAGATTATTGAAATTTTGGCTGAGATTTTTCTCAGTTTGTTAGAACAACTGCTACTTTGCACCACAGGAGTGTAGCTGAGGAATTGCAGTGCTGTTCAAAATTAAGTCCTTTATAAATCATTTTGTGCTACTGACTTTTTTGAGGCAAAGCTTTGGAAGACCTTATATTTGTCTTGCACAATAGCAGCAATTAAGTAGCATCATGAAATTCTCATTTAAAGGAAAATAATGTGCAAGAGAGAAGGAATATTCCAAAAATAATTTAAAGTTCATCTGAATTCAGTGTCCTTTTAAGATGAAGAACTTACTTTCAGATTAGATTATTTTCTGTTTTATCATTATCTGGTTTATTTGGTTAAAGTTTACACAGAATACAAGCTTTCTAAGGCATGTATTATAATCAATATGTATTACAAAGCATATTGCTGTCTAGAATGTTACAATACCAAATGTGTTTGCAAAGATCTCTGCTGTGTAACCATGAATGCAATGTTTACTTTTTATTTTAACATCTTTTCTCTACATTTTGCATTGCCGCACATCCTCTTTACTACATGACACATCTCTTTGGATATTAGTGATTCTATACTAGTAAATATTAAAACGTGTATTTGGTTTATAGGTATGCTTTTTTTGGTCAGTATTGCAGCTGTCCCAGTTAATGTATCTGTAAAACAGATTTTGAAAAACTGTAAAATAAAAGTGTAATATAATGAATTGGCATCATTCTGCTTTTATAAGGATTTTTGAAGCATGAAGTTCAAAATTCATAAGAAGATGACAGTTTGTTTGCATCAGCAGAGCAGGATTTTTTGTAGGTGCAGTTGCATTGTGAATGTACACTGGTTGCTCACAAAAATAAAAAATAAAAACATATTTTTTCAGGGAAGCAAAATTCAAGCTACTGTTGCCATGAATAAAACTTACACTGCTTGTTAGCAGAAACTGAGAATATGGAATGCTTCAACCTCAAAATGCCCTGTTCCATCCTTGCTGGAAGTGTCTTGATGTGAGAATAGCTGTTCTGATTTAATGGAAGATGTCTGACCTTGAAACTGACTATTTTAATTGTATCAAGAGTGAATTATTCTATTATTTTCAAAACTGAACCAATTCTGGTAAAGTTGGAACAAGACAGTTCAGCGAGACGGTGTTATAATCTTGAAATATTTTAGACATATCAAATCTTATGCAACAATGGGATGTTTCCTCTTTGGAGGAGTCATTCGTATCCTCCCCAGCAGGAGAAGAAAAAAAAAAGACTTGCTTCACACCTTATCTAATAATTTTCTCCTTCCCCAGCACGTAAGTAAAATGGGCACATAAAATGCAAAGATTAATTTAATTTCTAAATATAGATCTCTGAATGCAGTGTCCTTCAAATGTGGGCAGTGCATGTTATTGAAATTTTATATAAAGAATATCACTAAAACCTCAGGATATTGACAGAATGTTTTATATTTTATATATTGCTGAGCCAACTGAAGCATGTTGCTGTCTATATTATGGAGCCATTATATAAATTTCCCAGGTGTACTGAACTGCTGAAGCAAAGTATGATTCTTTGTAAGAAGTATTTCTTCATCAGGACAGAACACAGGACCAAATACTCATGCAAACAATACAATTCTATACATCTTGCTCAATGGTACCTTGCTCAATAGTAACTGTGAGAGGGATCTCGGAATCCCAGTGGACAATCACCTAAATAATGAGCCAGCAGTGTGCTGCAGCTGCCAAAAAGGCCAACACAGTGCTAGGCTACATTAACAGAGGGATAGAATCAAGATCATGTGAAGTGTTAATACCACTTTACAATGCCTTGGTAAGGCCACACTTGGAATACTACATCCAGTTTTGATCACCACGATGTAAAAAAGATGTTGAGACTCTAGAAAGAGTACAGAGAAGAGCAACAAAGATGATTAGGGAACTGGAGGCTAAAACATATAAGGAAAGGCTGCTGGAATTGGGTATGTCTAGTTTAATGAAGAGAAGGACGAGGGGGGACATGATAGCAGTGTTCCAATATCTCATCAGGGGCAGCCACAAAGAAGAGGGTGTCAAGCTATTTTCCAAGGCGCCTGAAAGCAGGACAAGAAGCAACGGGTGGAAACTAATCAAAGAGAGAAGCAACCTAGAACTAAGAAATTTCCTGACAGAACAATTAATCAGTGGAACAACCTGCCTCCAGAAGCTGTGAATACTCCAACACTGGAAGTTTTTAAGAAGAGACTGGACAGCCATTTGTCTGAAATGGTATAGGGTTTCCTGCCTGACTAGGGGGTTGGACTAGATGACCTTCAAGGTCCCTATCATCATCATCATCATCATCATCATCATCATCATCATCATCATCATCATCATCATCATCATTATTATTATTATTATCTCTATTCAAATGAAAATACTACTAAGCTTATCGGAAAATATTGTAAGGTAACTATAGGATAATTTTATTGTTGTGGGTTGCAACTTTTCATTGTAGAGAGAACCGCCACTTTCCATTCTTGAAAATATCACCATTAGCATGGTAAAATGTGTTAAGAAAATTCTGAAATTTACATTAATTTTTCTTTCCTTTTGGTTTCTATTTGTAGTAAACAGAACATTTAATTTTTGTGACCCTTCATTGTTCTGTAGAAATATTGTCTCATGGATATTTAAGATTGAAAATTACTGCGCAGGTATGGAAATTCTGCAAAACATGTTATAAATTGCTCTTAAAATGCTTGTTTCTATTCTCAGATTGATCATATCTTTATATCTTGGAGGAAGATCTTTAGATTGTGTAAGAACATATGATTGATTAGTAGAAAATGTTCCCACTGCTATTGAGCAGAGATTCATTTTTCAGATTATCTCTTTTCACTATTTTTAGTGGTTGGCTCTCCACTGTCTTCCCTCCAATACACATGAGAATGCACTATCTTGTGATGGTCTTAACTGAATTTCTATTTTCCCTTTTCTGAAGCTTGTGGAAAACAATCCAATAGGCTTTCTCCCACATTTTGGTCTACAGACTAGTTAAGAAGTCAGATGTAGGTTGTTATTACGGTATCAGATGAACAAAAGTCATAATTCAAATCCAAATACAGCAAAATGCATAAAGTACTACAACATGGCTATTTCAGTGCATTACTAGGATGACTTAATGAATATGAATGAATGAATGTATCTTCCTTCCTTCCTGTGTGGCTGTAATTACATTGGATACTTTTCCTTCAGTATTATTTGAAGCCAAAACTGCAATTAGTTGTTAGCTAGTAGCAGTTAGCGATTACGGTGTGAAATCATGTTGACATGTAAATTTTGTCCTGCTGTTAATTTCAAAGCCTCAACATCATTTGCAAAGTAAAATGAATGTATGTGTGTAGTATATGTGGGCTAAAATCATTGTTACTTGCACTACATGTTATAGCTCAGATAAAGTCTTCATATTTATTTTATTATATACAAAGTGGATGGATTCCAAAGCTTTTCTAAAAAGAACCTTTGAAGTGTTTGCTTTCTGTTTAAACATATATTTTAAAATGTGATGCTGTTCTCTCCAATCAACACCAGATGGCAGAACAGAGATAGTATTGTGGAGATTGAATATTAAAGATGTTGATTGCAAATGCTGGCCTCATAAGTAGGTGAGAATTGTTCATTTACCTTGGTGTTTTTTTTTTGCAATATGTAGATTACATTCATTGATGTAATCTCTAATCTAGACTGTTTACATTGTAATGTAAAATAGTACATTGTTATTTTAACAACTTTTTTAGTGTGTAAGGATAGTTGAATTAGTTGCAGCAAAAACAACAGAATTTTGTGAGGTCTTAAACACCTTTATTAATATATGTTTTTGTGGATTAGTTCAGCAGAAACAT